GTGTACGCATTCGTATGGCTCAATTTCCTAAGTAAAAGATTAAGTTAATATGGTTATCTCTAAAACACACAAAAAACCTAACTAAGCTACAAACATTTTAGTTTGTATATTTATTTTCATACCAACTATATGGTATGAACCGTGGTATAACTAACTACTTATAACTTCTAAGCTGGTTATGTTTTCGTTTATAACATCTCATTGCCACTGACAGTGATGCAACGAAACATTGTACCAAACACTAAATAGACCACTCAACAATTAGTATGGCCTGAACAACTGATGATTAGCTGATCGTTACAATTTTACTTCTTCTATCTCCGTTACTTGGGTTGTTATGAGTAAAACCATGCTGTTATGAAAGTAAACGATGCTGTTATATGAAACTTTTCAATTCTAAGAACTGAACTGAAACGGCTACTTAAAAAAAAATGGTTATAGGTTAAGAAAGTAAATGTATACATTTAGTGCTCCATATTATTCACAGGTTCGCCGAATCGATTCGTAAATGTCCAGTGGATATAGGTTGAAGTGTCAGCTGTTTATAGATGATCATAACAACAAAGTCTGGACCCTTTACAATCAAGTCAACCCTTACTGCTTGTCCAAGTTATAACTGATCTGGAATGGGCAATATGAAGACCTCCAACATTCTGTTCCTTCCCTGTTATGTGTTGACCAGAGAACGACAGTCATTTTATACCTTTACTTTAGTTACCCTAGTTATAACTTACTTTAGTTATAATCTTCTTACTTTGAAGACAATTTCCCTTGCAGCTTTATATTTGATTAAATTTAAATTTTTTATTGTTGCATAAAAAGACCTTAGACATGTTAAATGTTTTCTTAATGAAGTTTGTCGTTGTTATGAACTACTAATAAATGTAGTTCACGATTTTACGTAGCATTATTAAGGCTAGTTAGCAGTAAAATTTGCAATATAATAATCATATTCGCTAGAGACTTTCACTTTTTTTGTTATGGTGATATTCTTTTTTAAGACTAGTTTAAGATTTAGTTTAAGACGACACTAATTTTTATTTTCAATCCGTAGCCTGATTTAATTATCTACTTAAAACATTATTGAAATTTTGAATTACGCTATATATTGAAAAAAAAACTATATATTTTTCGTCATTGGTAGCATCCATCAAATCCTTCAAGATTACTATTTTCTAAGTATAATTTATCAATACTTTCCAAATAATGTTTAGTTTTCCTTGGCACAATTGTTATTTTAACTGTTAAAAGCATCCAACAACACGTAACGCATAGATATATAGGATTTTTTGCAGTAACACAATTTATTGGTAAAACTTTTAATTAAAAAAAACTTGTAATAATTAGAATTTGAACTAGAACCAAAAACCTACATAATACCTACATAAACCCGTAACCGAATATGGAATTTCTTGTTTTTTAGTTTATTTTCCAGTATTTATTTATTGCATTTGTACCAAATCAGAAATCACTTTTATAAAGACATTTAAGAATTAAAATTTGTTTAAGAAGCATTTTTTTCGTAGATAATTTGTACTTAAACAACTTCCTCACTTTAAGGCCATGACCAATCTTATTTTGTTAAATAGACTTAATGTTCAAACAAAATTAGATATATTCATAAAAACACGTAAACAGAAATATGATATTTTTTGTAAAATTGTTGTGGAATCAAAAATAAACAGTCAGCTGGAACAAAAACTTGAAAACAGCAGAGAGTAGAGTTTATTAAATTGCAGACACAATTCCTAAACTGTTTAAACGATAACGAGATTGAATGCCAGAGGGCCATTGGTGTTAATACAGTGTTAAAGGCTTAACTGTGTTACAATTATATTACTGGTAAAGTGTTATACATATCTTTTTTATATTTAATTTTGAATGAGGAACTAGGTTTTTGTACATTTCCATATATTTATTTACTAGTGTAAATAATTTGAGGAAAAATGGTTAAGCAATAGTTGCAATATTCAGTTGCACGGAACATAAAAGTAGATCTTTTTATACGACAAACTAAAAACCTTTATTATGTTTTACCTAGGATATTTCAATACCATATTTACCAACGTAATTAAGATAATAATAAAATAAAAATATTACACATGTCACTTATTATAGTAAAGGCTTTCACAAATGATTCTGTATACGTGTTTTGAAAAATTAAAATAATATGAGACACTGTTAAAGATCTGAAGGATGGAAACTAATTTTGAATATATTTATAGCTGCATAGCTAAATTTTTATTGAGCTCACCCATTAACAAAAAGCTGTCGGGCATAAGACAAGTCTGAAGCTGTTTAAGGGTTGAAACTAGACTTAGCTGTCATTGAGAATTAATTGGGCTTTTAATAAAATAAATTAATATAGAACCATTTACACTCGTCCAGCAAATATATCCACACAAGTTTATTTTTTAGGGATTGTACCATTGACTCATAAATAATAGATTTTAATATTAACCTTTTTACCAACAGTTCACCTTTTCGTGTGTATCATCTTCAGTGGCATTTTTTATAGATTTAAATGAGAAAATCCAAACGTTGGTTAGGACATATATGAAAGATTTGTTTATTAATTATCATTTATTAAAGATGATTGAAAAATGCATGTGTCCAAGTTAATATATACATAATCTACATAAAAACAAGCAAGCAGGTTTCAAATTTGCATTCTGACTCTTCAACTAATTTCCCACTTTGTGCATAAAATGCTTCATGCCAATGTTAACAATTTACCAGGGAGAAAATCATAGTTTTACTCGTAATTTATGTGCATAGACATTGTGATATAACATTATTTCGATATTTTTTTAGGACACTAATTTATGATGATTTTACCTTAACGTTGTCTTATCCTAATCTTGATAATTTCGAATTACATTATTTAGTAAGAATGAATTTTTATTAGTTCTTCTTTCTTTATTAAATAATTTTCTGTGTTGCTTTTAATTGCTAATCTCCAGTTTTGTGTGATAATCTTGTTAGGTTCTAGGTTCTTCCTCACCTAAAGACAATATCAGATGCTGGATCCCGAAACGTTTTGAAAACCTTTTTAACTTATCGTGTTACACGTTTTTCCTATAACCTTAAAAATGACGCAACTTAACAATCACCTAAAATTATTGCAAATCATCTTATTATGTCAGTAACGTTGTTAAAATGAACATTTACATTATTATAGTAGCATTTAAGTTCATAAACATCACTTACCGGTACCTCAAACATTGGACAAGAATACAAACAATCAATTAGTGCAGATCATCCAAGTACTAATTGTACTAGGTAATCAATTATTGCCTTAGGTAAGTCTGCCTGTCTGTAAGCCACAAGCGTATTGGACCGACCTCTAATAAGACTTAGGTTCTCGGAGCTAGTTGTAGGTTACACTATTGCTATAATGTTACAATAGTTGGTGTCGAATAGTATGGTATGTTATTCAGTATTAACATTTAGGTTACCATTTGGATTTAAATTTGGGAATCCTTATGCACACAGAAAATTCTATTAGACTACCTTATTTTCTTAAGTCTTTTTCTAAGTAGACTTGTTTACGTTTGGCTCCAAACCACCTTAAAATTGCATTGTAAATAAAAAATATGCCTACAAACACTTCAAATGTATATTACACTTATACTGTTAAACAAGACGGTATAAGATGTTTAGTGATGATTGATAAAGATTGGACACTAGTATCATCAAACTTAATAGGCAAATGTGTAATAATCTTGTTACTCATTAAATATATAGTGACTTCAGAGTAAAAATGATATAGGCATAAGCTTCAATGGGAATGATCAATCTTGTTATCACATTTTTTTTTATCGTGACAATATATATAGATAATAATTTAAATTGAAGAATAAACTCACAAAATAACGGCACCATTCTTAACTTATGTAGATTCAACACTTTTAAAAGTATTTATTCAATTGCTAAGAATACTAATTAATTTGATTCTGTTCAATTGATAAAAAAATAAATGTAACAGATTCACGGCATAAGCAGTGCCATGTTCATAACAAAAACTGAATATACCTGTGAATATATAAACTGAATACTATACTATCAAAATACTATTACTATGCTCTCAAAATGGTGGCTAATCATGCATGTTATGCCAACAAAACCTGATTTGTTAATATTACCATTAATATTAGTAGGACACCCAAAGTGGGTTATTGAAATCATTATTAATTGATTAATGGAAGCGTATGCAATATAAATTTTGGTGCAAATTTTTGGTTTCAATTTTCTTTTGTTGGAATGTTTTTAGGGACTACTAGTTTTTTATGAAACTGGGGAATAAAATACATAAATACCACGCTCTGCTATCATTTTATGTATTTTATACCCTCTTTTCATTAGGTTACGGGCCCAGAAGAAGTTTTTTATATAATTTATTTTCGATATGTATAAAACTACATTAAAATAAAGAATTCAGGACTGTGTTGGATAAGATTTCTAGGCTTATGAACAATATTTTGTTACCCGATATCTTTAAATGAATCGTTATGTTGTTCAAATATGTTCACAGTGAAGTGTTTATCCTTTAATATTTTTTACATTTTCTTTTAATAATTAAAGTTTTTTGTGTTTTTTCCCACGTTTCATCTGTTTTGCCTTCACTTGATTTCGTCCCTTGCTTAACGTAGCTTAAAACATTTAAATTTTAATTCTCAAACTATTTCAGTTCTAAATCTATTTATTCATTTATTTATCTCTTTAAATCTTTCTTTTAAATTTTCGATGTGTTTATTAAAACAATTTATTCTGTTTCATATTTTGATTAAAATCTAAAATTACGAACTCCATAGAACTGAATATGTTCCAAATGCACAAAACACAGAGGAGCCAGAATGTGTGGTCAATAGCCATGTTTCATGAGTTATCACTACTAGTCCTTATCAGTGGTCCGGCCGGGAGTTAGGGGGGTTTTGGGGGGCCGTGGGGGGGATCGGTAGAGGGGGGTACCCAGGTACCGGGAGCTTCAGTCGGCTTTGCGCGCCCTGACGGCCGGGATCGCCGTACTGCCGCGAATCAAACTAAAAAAATATGTGAATAACAGCTGTGCAGAACCCTCGGTTTAAAAATTTTCCAAAATTACTCGCTAGATTTTTTCTGTGTGGTGATAACATTTTGATTCGGATTACTTTGTGAAATTTGTGTTGCAGTGTAAGTGGGGATGTGAAAGACGAAATGTAGGGGATTGCTGTGTTTGTGAATTAAGGTAAGTTTATTTTAAAATATAAATTATAAAATAATAATTTGTTTATACATTTCTCATATTACTTTTTTTATAATAATGGGGTTTATATTGACTATAGGTTAGTGCTTCTATTTGAAGAAAACGAATTGTATAAAAAAAGTACAATGATAAACACTCCTACATGTAGGTCATCGCTGTAAATAAATAGTTGGCCTATATGTTTATTTCTAGGTAAATAAATTTATGTTGCCACATAAGATTTTTATATTAGTTATACAAAAGTCTAGCTATAAAATTCTTAGCTATTGAACAACTTACTTTAAAATCTATTTTCATAACAAATATGAGTGTACAATTTTTATATTCTTGTAAAAACATTATTTTGTGTGAGTTATTTAAAATTGAGTCCAAATTATTCTGTATTTTTTTTATAGAGTTAAAAGGTTTTCTTCTTTTACTCTGTATTCTACACAAATATCTAGTGTTCGATCTTACCTATATAACCAATATAAATGCAAACCCAAATTTTAACACTTGGTAAATAAACGTGCAATTGAATTCCGATTTTGAACAGATTAAATAATATTTTATTACTTTCCAATATGATAATAGCCTGATATATTTAAACATGTGGATAATCCACACTATAAGACGTAAGCTACAAAATAACATATTACACATCTGTACAGTATGAACCAATTCATGATATTATGCTAAAGTTGAAAATCATCACGCATGAATCATCATCCAGTTCTCGGAAAATCCAACCCTCGTCAAATGCACGGCAAGTTTTCAATGAGGAAGCGCGTAATGAATGGAAGTTTCACAGCTCGGTTATATTTATGAATGCGGACACCATTGACAGCGTTGCAGCATCGTTAAAAACCAACCGTTGAAAAATCGGTAAGCAGCATTCGCTATGAAATTGGCGTGAGCCTTTATTGCAAATGCTAAATGAGCCTTAAATCACTGTTAGAGTAAGGCCCTAGTGGCATAATTTATTGAATTATTTTGAAGATTTGTATAAGTGTTACATTTTCGTTTAAATTTTGTACAAAGGTTGTTAAGGTTATGTAGGGCAGTGACCTGCTTTTATTTGGTAAACAAATTGAAGGGAATGTAAGACGACTAAGGTTTAGGAAATAAATGATTTAACGTAGTAAAGATTTCGTTAAAATGTCTTCCTTCCGTATACCGGTCATTGGGCAGAAAATAAATGTTTTTTTTAGTTACCATATAAATTTAAATTTTCTTAGGCCTAAAGTGAAGTTAGTCAACACCATGAGCATTATCATAGATTAAGAACCGTAACACTTCTTGGGTTTTAATAACAGTTGAACCTAAAACATAAGGCGTACTCGAAACTATCGAATCACTTTTTTCATCCCAAAGCAAAAATCTATTTGTGATTGATTGGTGCAATTTAACCCAGAACTGCAGGACCAAAGACCTGCACTCTTATTAATCGAACATCCATGTCTTTTAAGGAATTGAAACCAAATCCTTGAATTTTCTTCCATTGCAGACCTCAGATATCTTAATTTTAAAATAAGTGTCTTTAAGTTGAAAGTTTTTAAAGCATTTTATATGTTACTTAAACTTATGCTTGAGACAGCTGACTAGGAATTGACGGAAGAATCGGAGATACCATATTTATGAGGAAATGCTTATTTTGTATTCTACAAATCGTATTGACTTATTTTAAATTAGCCATGCTAAAAGCTGCATAAAATACGCACTTGGAACACGTGAAAAAAATAAAATATTTTAGTTTTTCACAACGAACAATCATAGTTCACTTGCACATGCGCAATCTTTGATTTTTTATAATCCACAATGCAGTTGTAAATATGCCTACAGGTATTATAATACTATGTATCTGAATTATCCGTGAATTACGTTTGCTGATTTTACCTAGTCATTTTTATGTGACAATCATATGGACATACACAAAATCTTTAGAACATCACAGATTATAGATTTATCAGTTTTTGCTTTAAAAATGTAAAAATTCAATCTTCTAGGTTATGCTGATTTAAGACCTTATAAACTAGTTTTGTATGCAGTCTGTTGTCCTCTCATCAAAGCCAATTTGCCGTATGAGTCACTAAAAGAGAAGTCACATATAAGGCCACTTCTCAGTCACTTAAGTCCAGTCTTTATCAAGCTTGAATTCATCTCAGTGCATTTACTGTTAAAGAAATGTAGGTAATTGAAATAGGTTTGATGAAGATCCCTACACTATTTCATACGAGATCTTATCACCACAAACCGTGATTAGATAGGTAATTTTATAGTCCGATTATGATATGAAGTAGTAATAATCGCAATACTATCTGTAAAATAAACGTGTTTAATTTCTATGGCATAACACAATGCAACACTTAGATCTTTTTCTTGGTCAAAACAAGTGGACCTACTCGAAAGTCTAGATTACCTCAACTCCAGCTAAATTATTCATTGAAACCTTAAAACCTAAAAACTATCTTGTCCCCAAGATGCATGTATGCAACTGTATCCAAAGCAGTTTCATACAAATAATACTATTTACTAATCATTTACTTGCACGAGAGTTTTCAGTAAGTTAAGGTTCCCAAAGAGTCAAGCCCCTATTGAAACTAAGCTACCTAGTGCACATCTCTCCTGAGCGTTACGTTCTTTATTTCCGTCAAAAGTGGATGAGTCGGACCTCACCCCTTGAGGTCATTAAGTTTTGACCAACGATCACATAAGACCAATGGTCTAAAGGGCCAAAGCGTCTTATGTAAATGTTGGTTTTGACGTAGAACTCGATGACGATAAAAGCAAAAATTTACGCCAAGTCGAATTGATTCGAAGCCAAGTGTAAATCGCATTCTTTGAATTGATTTCTCAAAAGTTTAAAAAGGCAGCCCTATTGAAATCCAATAGTAGGTAAATGAAATCGTTCTCAAAATTTCACAATGTAATTAATATGTTTATAATATAGTAGAGCGGACACATCGGATTGTTGTGCAACCGAATTTGAAAATGGCTACATGTTACAGTTTTTCTGCCTGACTATGTAAACACGATTACCGTTCTACAAACGTATGTGTCATACTACAGGTGTGAACCAAATGTGCAGCATCTGTTATGCGTAAACACTTCAACGTCTGTCTACGTTTTCTTAGTTCGTCTTTTGCTGTGCAAAATTGATTACTCTTTTTATGCTTGAATCTTGTTAAAATTTAATAGCAAAAATTGTATTGTGTACAGGAGTAACAAGGATCATGGACAAAATTAATTACTTGAACTATTGTACTAATTTGCATTGTTGGGTTGGGTTGGTTGGGTTAGCATAGGTTATGTTGGGTTAGGTTGAGTTAGGTTGGGTTAGGTTGAGTTAGGTTGGGTTAGGTTGGGTTAGTTTGGTGAGGTTGGGGGTGGGGATATGTTAGATTTGGTTAGGTTAGATTGTCTTTATTTATATTTGTTTCAGTTGTATGCAAAGACTTAAAAATAGTATGTTTAACTAAGGTTTGTCTTAATTTTTTTATACAAACCTTTGTTAAACATGTTTATAGAGTAGAGTGTAGTAAATTGTAACTTAAGAGTGAATTTATGTCTAGATGGGTTTGATGTAATATGCACTTAAGTTTAAATAAACCACTAACCCTTTAGCAGGTGAGTATCTATGTCTTAAGTCAAATAAATATTTAATGTAACAAATGTATTGGACCTAAGTCAATGTCCTGCTATATTTTAAAGATATTTAGTAATTCCACCTAACCAGTCTTTTACCTATAACTTCACAAAACAATATTCCGAAAATGTTTCACGTGATTAATTTAGGTATATAATCCACTTACAATCATAATCCTCTTGTGAAATAGTTAATTGTACACTGTTAATTGGAAACAAAACAAACGCCATACTACGCGTCAATTTCATTAAATCCTACATTTTCAAAGTATATGTTTGAAGTCTCTTTCACGCATAAAACATTTGAAATATGTTTCGGTGACATTTGCCAGACGTTTGCCCGGTTCCATATTACTGTAGTAGAACACGACCTATTTGGCACTACACAGGGTCGCTCCAATGAGGCTCCCTTGTAGCACTCCGAGTTAGTAAATCATAACAACACTAATTTAGAGATGTTCTGGTCCCATCGAACGATACAGGGCTTGCGTTGTCGAAATAGTTATAGCTACCAGATAGTTATTATTTAAGTAACATGTCTTTGTATTGGTACGTTAAGTTGTGAGTAGGGTAGGCTTATGTTAATAATAATAATAGTAATGTATTATTTTGCAAGCACTCCTCAGTACAAATTGCTTTACAGGATGACTCTTATCAATTAACTAATCCTAACTTAAAACTAATGACAGAAAAATACCGATCAACCCCTATTTAAAATATTTTGTTTATCAACAACTATATATACATTTTATTCAGTCTAGATCTAAAAGTTAGGTATGGTTTATGGAATGTAGTTAGGATAGGATAGGTTAGGTTAGGTTAGGTTAGGTCGGGTTAGGTTAGGTGAGTTAAGGTTGGGTTAGGATAGGTTTGGTTAGGTCAGGTAAGGTTAGGTTAGATTTTTCTAACTCTATACTGACTCTACACTTACCCAGCCTACCATAACTTAACCTAACCAAAGTTTTATTCACAACCAAATTTATTGCAAATAATATACTGTTCACAAAAATAGTTGTAGAATTAACGGAAAAGGTCCTAGTAGGCCTATACTATCTTAAGATTGTTGGGGAGGTTAATGACTGGCTTAATTGATTTATCTAGTAAATTCAGAGGTGTAGACACAAATATAAAATACACATCCTAACCTAACTATAAGACTTTAGCAGCTTAATGATGAAACCACATTCAGTGGCACAACTCATGGAATACTTAATTTGAATTATTCAACACCTACCAAATAAGTCTTATTCCATATTATTTTACAACCAAATATCATGAGGTGTTTACCGAGTCGTTTGGACCTGCGACAAGATGAGCTACTAAATGCACACACACACACACACACAAACATTAGCTGC